GGCATGGGCAGAGCTGGCAAGGTTACAAAAATGAAAATAAAGCAGTCTTTGTGATAGGACAGATATGCAATCACAAGCTCATTTCTATTAAATATGACGCCAAGATTGTAACCAATCGGGTTCAGCATTAGACAGCCACCATGGAGCATGATGCAAATCGATAGCTAAGTTTGAAGTTGGGACAGAAGACTGTGGTCTCAGTTCTCAATCTTTAATCAAAGGAAATATCTGCTGATCCTGTACTGGGACATCAGGTAAATGGGGTAAGAATTTAGCAACAGTGGAGGAGTCGGGAAAGCGAGATGCTGAGGTGGTACTAGGTGTTGGCAGCGTAAGTCCTGCCTGTCCCAGCGGTGTGTCAAAGTATATCCAAACAGGCTGATTGCAATAACTGTGTATAAACAATGGCTGTGACTTCCAAAGATGTCAAGGCCAGCATGCAGATGAGAAACAGGAGGAGCCTGGGGGGACACGAGCTAATGGGGTGAATCAGGTAAAGAAGTTATTACAAACTTAACTCTTCATTTAATGCAAAGTATAAAATGTACTGGGTGACCATTCAGTTATAGATTGCAAGGCGACCTGCATGCTGAATGCCAACAACAGAAGTGCCAAGTGATCTCCCCATCTGATAGCTCAGGACAATGTTCTTTAAGATCACTCCCACCCTTGTTTTTTCATCCTCTAACTATTAGGTTTATAAGGGGGAGGAATAAGCTAGCTAGCTTCTGTTTAAATGAAGAAGACTGGTAATCTAGAAGCTCAGGCTAATGCTCAATGGGAACAGGATTCAAATTGCACCAATGGCAGCTGGAGGAATTTAAATTCAATTAATACATCTCAAATGTAATGCTAGTCTCAGTAATGGTGACTATGACAGTGTTCATTGATTGTCATAAAAACACATTTGGTTCCCTAATGTTCTTACCTGGTCTGGCCTAAATGTAACTCCAGACTAAAGCAATATTGACCCTTAACCACACTCTGAAATGGCTAGCCAGCAAAGTACTCAGTTCAGGGCAATTCTGGGTGGCAACGTTGCTTGTCTTAGTAGCGATTCCCATGACCCATTGACAAGTGAAGGAAAATAAAATATCTACACTAATCAATTCAAACAATTTGCGAGTTAGTGAGCTCTACGTTCTCATCCAATATTTTCAAATTTTTTATTCAAATCCATGATGTGAGGAAGAAAAATGATATTCAAAAATTTCAAGTGTTTAGAAATGGAAAAATATATCTCAATAATATCAAAACAAACTGCAACAATTATTTAGCAATAAAACTGCATTATTAAGATATACTCAATTTTGAAATGACATTTTATAAAAAAAAACTATTAAACACTCATTTACATCTGGCACAGTCAATCTTTGCACATGCATTTAGTTATGTTTGCATTGCTGAAAGATGATTTGTACTTATACACAGCTTTGAAGCATACAATCTCACAAAAAGTACCATTGATACCTAAATGTTTCTTCTTATCTGTGGGCTGTTCAGTCTATTTCCAAAACAATTGTCATCACATCAACAGAATCTTAATGAAGATTTGATTTTGGAAACAACTTCTTCAGATGCTGAATGCCAGTGATCCTGGCTGTGTAAATAACAAATCCCCAAGAAAGTAAGACGATGGTCAGAAGTATCTGTGCAAGATGAAAGACATTACGTTAAACAAATAAGTAAAATATTGTGAAATCTGGAATAACAAATAGAAATTGATGAAAAACAAAGCCAGTTGGGTAGCACCTATGGTGACAGGACAACATAACATATCAGATCAGTGCAGTTTTAATTCCGATGAAAGGTTATTAATATGGACAGTAACTCTTCTTCACAGATGCTGTCTGAACTGCTGAGTATTTTCAGCATTTTCTGTTTTTATCCACTAAATTATGGTAGATAGTGCCATCAGATCATGAGCAATTTTTTTTATTATTTAACTTATTTTTCTTACCATCCTGTTCAGAGATGTTATTACACGCCTCTGGAGCAGGTAAGACTTGAACCTGGACCTCCGGTACAGTGGTGGGGCCATTACCACTGTGCCACAAGGGCCATGAGGCAATTATTTTGGCAACTGGCATCAAATGCAGTTCCATGGATGTTATTGGAACTTTACTCTTTTTCAAAATAAGCTTTGTCATCTTTGATTTACAATAATTACCCAACTTGACAGTTTTATCCAAAAGGCTATTAATTAGGTTCAAAGATGTGACTGCAGGATTCACTTTGGGCATGATGAGGAAACATTCACAGCATGCCTTTCTGTTCATCACTTGCATCTCTAGTATCCATGTCTAGCCCTCTATGTGACTCCAGTCCTATCACAACATTTGCTACCGTGTTAAATAGGTGGAAAGATTAGTAATGAGCATGAAACACTACACCTATACCTACACTACAGACAGATATAAACAGGTGAATCAAGTTAGGAAAAAAAACTTGGTCGGTGGAATTTAGAGTGGGGAAAATGAGAGGTTTTACATTTTGGCAGGAAGAATAGGAGAGCTGAAAATTACTTAAATGGAGAAAGACTATAGAAAACGACAACTCAGAGGGATTTGGGAGACCTCACACAAAAGTCTCAAAAAGCTATCATATAAGTTCAGCAGGTAATAGGGAAGGCAAATGGAATGTTGGCCTTCATTTCAAAGGGAATGGAGTATAAAAATCATGAAGTCTTGCTAAAACTATGCAAGGGACTAGTCAGACCAGAGCTGGAATATTGTGAACTGTTTTGAGACCCTTATCTAAAGAAAATACATTTGCATTAGAGGCAGTCCAGAGAAGGTTCACCAAACTGATACCAGTGATGGAGGGAAGACTTGCGAGGTCAGATTGAGGAGGTTGGGCCTGTATTCATTGGAGTTTGGAAGAATAAGAGGTCACCTTTAGAAAAGATACAAGTCTCTTAGGAGATTTAACAGGATAGATGTGGAAAGGTTGCTTCCCCTTGTGAGAGTGTCTAGAACCAGAAGATAATCTCAGAATAGGGGATCACTTTTTAAGAAAGATGATGAGGAATTTTGGCTTTCAGAGGGCAGTTAATTTGTGGAACTATTTACTGCAGAGGCTGGGTTTTTACGTAAATTCAAAGCTGAGATAGATAGATTTTTAATCAATAAGGGAATCAAGGGTTATGGGGAAAAGGCATGAGGATAGAGTTGAAGATTATTGGATTAACCATAATCTCACTGAATGGCATAGCAGGCTCTTTGGGCTGAAATGCCCACCTCTGCTCCTAGTCTTATGCTCACTACAAATCAAAAGTATCAAAACCTAAGAGTTAGACAGAGGGCAAAACAATGGCAAATTGAATTTTAATACAAGTTATTGCAGAGGAATACACATCTATGGATGCAAAAAAATGTGCTTCCTGTTTCAATTAACTGATTTGCGATGCAAAGTAACGCCAACAGCATGGGTGCAATTCCTGCACCATCTGAGGTTAGGATGAAACATAGAAACATAGAAGATAGGAGCAGGAGGAGGCCATTTGGCCCTTCCAGCCTGCTCCACCATTCTTCATGATCATGGTCGATCATCCAACTCGATAGCCTAATCCTGCTTTCTCCCCATAACCTTTGATCCCATTCATCCCAAGTACTACATCTAGTCGCCTCTTGAATACATTCAATGTTTTGACATCAACTACTTCCTGTGGTAATGAATTCCTCAGGTTCACCACTCGTTGGGTGGAGAAATATCTTTTCATCTCCGTCCTAAAAAGTCTACCCCGAATCCTTATAATGTGACCCCTGGTTCTGGACATACCCACCATCGGGAACATCCTCCCTGCATCTACCCTGTTAAGTCCTGTCAGAACTTTATAAGTCTCTATGAGATCCCCCTCATTCGTCCGAACTCCAGCGAAAACAATCCCAACCTAGTCAAAACTCACTCAGAACCTTCTTAAGAAGGGTCCAGACCCGAAACGTCAGCTTTCCTGCTTCTCTGATGCTGCCTTACCTGCTGTGTTCATCCAGCTCTACATCTTGTTATTCCCAACCTAGTCAATCTCTCCACATACGTCAGACCCGCCATCCCTGGAATCAGCCTGGTAAACCTACGCTGCACTCCCTCGAAAGTAAGAGCATCCTTCCTCAGAAAAGGAGACAAAACTGCACACAATATTCTCACCAAGGCCCTGTACAACTGTAACAACGCATCCCTGCTCCTGTACTGAAAGGTCCCTCCGTCTCAGTCTCTCCCCTCACCAGCTGTGTGGTGACTCTCGGCTTAAGCTACCAGCAGCCGTGTCTCTCTCTCATGAGAAATTAGCACTATGATCCGACAGGACTATGGCGACGTTACTTACTTTAACCCAATGCCCCAGTTCACTCAGCGAAGGTGCCAGCTCTCTAGAGTTGCCCTGGAGCATTCAGTAATCAAAGGCTAATCTCTAGGGCTCTGCTCAACCTGATTTGGCCAGAACCCCTTCCCTGCTGTCCAGAGTTGATACTCACAACAGAATAAATCCAGTCCAGCGTTCGCTTACTCACACGGATCATGGCCCTTCACTATGGCAACCCTACGAAACCGATCACTGGAAGCTGCACTCACAAATATGAAAAAAAGGCCAAGGAGATTTAAAATGCAAACCAAAGCATAGCGCTCCGGGGAAGACTCGGATCGGACCCGAAACGTTAACTCTGCTTTTTTCTCTCTCTCTCTCCACAGATGATGCCAGACCCGATGGGTTTCTTCAGCACCTTCTGTTTTTTTTTAATTTGAGATCTGAATTAGCACCACACCGCTTTCTACCATTAGGGTTGGTGCAGTAAATCCTAGTGGCTGAGATATCCCGATTCAGCGAAACGAAAGCTCTTCAGTTTCACTCTGTCGGGCAGAAACGACTTTACACCGCTCTCTCAGTGGGTCCTCCACGTTCCCGGCGGCCAACGCGTGACGATGGGTGTTGCATGTGAAGGCGGAGGTCAGTTGTGGGTCTTCTGACGTCTCGGGCAGGGTAGTCCTCCAGCGTCCCGGCGGCCAGTGCGACGCCGTCACTTACTGCGCTTGTGTGATGGTGTCACCCCCTCACAGGCAGTGGCTTGTCCCCAGACTGAGCCTAAGAGGTAGGGAGCGGGGCGGGTGGGGGCTTAAGTGGGAATAACTCGAGCAAATGTTCACGGTCGGATCCAGGAGGAAGAGGAGAAGGGGGGTGCGGGATGCTATAGCATTTAAGGAAAAAGAAAAGAATCGCAGTTACAATACTGTATAATTCGAGCGAAGTGTGTGGAGGATCGGGGAGTGAGCGGCTGCAGCAGGTAAGAGAGTTCCTGGGAGGGGTAAACTGCCTGGGTACTGGGGCCAGGCATAGGCCCAGAACTGGCATTCCGGTCTGTCACCGGACTGAGCACCCCGTGGAACAATTTGTGGAGCTACGAGATGTCAAGGCAGCAAAAATAAAACAATTCGAGGCCAGAGACTTTTAAACCAGAACCTGAGTCAGTGGCATCAGTTCTGAGGGAAGGTCGCTGGACTCAAAACGTTAACCCTGATTTCTCTCCATGGATACTGCCAGACCTGCTGAGTTTTTCCAGTAATTTCTCTTATTGTTTTGGTCATATTCTTGGCTGGCACCTCCTTCCTTGCAGGGAGGTTCCAGCTCAATCTTGAAATTAAAGAGCCAGACAATTCAGGAAGCAACTCTTCACACAAACGGTGGTAGAAGTGTGGAATATTCTCCCTCAAAGCACAATCCTTATATAAGTCTGTGAGCGTGATAGATTTTTGCTGGAAGAGTCATGGGTTTAAGATGTGGCTGATTGGGGTTCTGCCATCATCTTACTGATGAAGGAAAATATCAGAAGTCACACAATACCAGGTTACTGTCCAACAGGTTTATTTGAAATCACAAGCTTTTCAAGTGCATTTGGAGTCACCTGATGAAGGAGTAGCGCTTCAAAAGCTTGTGATTTCAAGTAAGCCTGTTGGACAGTAACCTGGTGTCATGTAACTTCTGACTTTGTCCACCCCAGTCCAACACCAGTACCCTCACATGATGACAGATAGACCAACCTCAGAGGGCAAAGTATTCTCCCCGTTCCTGTATTAGAACTTCTGCAAAAGTGTTAATTACTTCACACCAGCTTTTCTCTCTGTTTAAGCTGGAAATCCACTTTTTAGCCATGTAAAGATGACTAGATGTTCACAATAAAATATTAAAAATGGCCTGATATAACCACTGAACGAACCATTCTTTTGGTCCTGAAATCTGCTTTTGACAGCATGAAAGACTTGTATGAAATACATCTGGGCAAAGCTCTGGGCTAGTGAACACTCATTCTCTAATTTGGCAATTTCACTGAGATGTTACAAGGATGGCTGGTGCATGTAAAGGCGGTACCACCTTGACGTAATGTGAGGTTCCATTTGAGACGGAATAAAGTGAACTACATTCTCTTTATATTTCACTCATGGGATGTAGGCATCACTGGCTGTGACTCAGGTTCTGGTTTAAAAGTCTCTGTCCTCGAATTGTTTTATTTTTGCTGCCTTGTCATCTTGTAGCTCTACAAATTGTAGGCATCACTGGCTGGCCAGCATTTATTGCCGATTCCTAGAGTAGCTTGCTAGGCCATCTCAAAGTGGCAGTTCAGGGTCAATCACGTTTCTATGGATCTGAAGTCACATGCAGGCAGACCAGGTGAGGATGGCAGGTTTCCTTCTCTTGGTCATCAGTAGATTCTTAATTCTAGACTTTTTTTTAAATTGAATTCAAATTCCACCATCTGCTGTAGCAGGATTTGAACCTGGGTCCCCAGAACATTAATTGCGTTTCTGGATTAATAATCTAGCAATAATACCACTAGGCCACTAGGATTCTGCATGCAGCATCTGTGCCTGTCAATGAGAGCTTCTAAAGCATGAGAAAATACTAACAGACATCAGCATCCACACATTTGTTTAAAAAATATATTTATTCATAAATTACCTTTAAGTAAATACAACAAGAATTTTGACATTGATCAGCAGAATTTCAATCCAATTGCAACAAAAAGGTATTTTATAATCATGAGAGGAAACTATTTACATTTTCATTAAGGTTACAAGGGCATCTTGAAACTTAACAGATCCTCCCCTCGTTATATTTCGGCAGAAGGACTGCCAAGAAAGACTGTGGTCTGTGCCTTGGCAGCAGCTGCCTCAAGCTTTAGTGCATTCCTCAGAATGGAGTCCTGAACCTTGGCATATTCCAGTCTGCAGCGCTCAGTCGAGGTAAACTCTTTGCACTGGAAGACCAACAAGTTTCAGGCAGACTAAAGATTGTCTGTCATTGAGTTAATGGTCCTCCAAGTGCAGTCAGTGTTTGTCTTGGTATGTGTCCTGGAGACTAGCCTGTAGATCACAGAGACCTGTGTCACAGAGCTGCCCAGGATGAAACTTGACAAAAACCACTGCATCTCTCTCCTGACCTTGATTGCAAAGGCACATTCCAGAAAGAGATGTGTGATAGTGTCCTCACCACTGCAGCAACATGCGGTAGTGGATGGAGACTGGGTATGCATGAAGGATCTGACAGATAATACCCTTTTCACTGCCAGCCAGGCTAGGTCTTGGTGCTTGTTGGAAAGTTCTGGTGATAAGATGACTTCATTCTTCCACATACTAATGGAGTGAGTGCAGGTCCCTTTTATTGATATTGTGACTGCACTGTATATCAGTGGATTTCTGTTTCTCCTTTGGTCAGTTCTTTACTGCATTACAGCAGGACGAGATACTTTTGTGCATCAAGATTTTGGTTTCAAGAAGGATTATGTCCGTGCACCCATTGATTGAATTAGAATCCTGAAAAAAATGGAGAGACAGATGTCCTGGCTTTTTAAATGCAGGCACTGTGTTCAGAAGGGAAATGTTTCCCATTAAAAGATAATTCCACATCAAGTAAATTTCTCTTCAAGTCTTTCACTGATAACACTACCAACCAGAAACTTAAATATCTTTAAAATATATTAAGCAAAAATGCATGAAGTTAGAAATTTACACTGGTTATCTTTTTTTAGTCAACAGCTGGTGGAACTGAAACTCCAGTTTGATCTGTCACAGTGAAATATTTCTGTTGTTGAGTTCTTACACTAGCTGTTGTTGTAGTGTCTCACTCTAAATTATTTCAAAATTTCTGAACAAACCTCTCGTGCAGCATGATTGTATTCCTGTTGAATCTGTGAACAGTCAACGGTTGTTTTATAGGAAAGATCCAGCACAGTATCATAAACACATTTAAACATGGGTGCTTAATGTCAAAAGGATTTTTAGCCTTGTTTATAATGCCAATTTTACTTAAGTTTTTGGCAAATGCAACACCTGCCTTTGCATTCTTTCTGTTAATTAGTATGCATACTGTGCTAAAAACTGACAACCAACCACTTTGTCTGTAAGATCCTGCATGATTGGGAGGATGAAAGGAATGAACATCCCCAATGAGCCCAACTGGCCTGTATTGATGTTTATGCACCAGACGCAATCCTCCACTCTACCTGATTTCACCCCATCAGTATATTCCTCTTTTGTCTTTCTCACTTATTTGTTTATTTAGCTTCTCCTTATGTACATCTCGCTATTTGCCTCTACCACTCCTGCGGTTGAGAGTTCTACATTCTTACCACTCGCTGAGTAATTGAGTAAAGCCACAAGATTGTTGAGACTGCTGAGACTTTTTATGAAGTACTGAAGTTTGTAAATTTAAAAGTAGGCAAAAGTAAATAATGATTTTCACACTGGAAGCAACCCTTGAAAGAGAAAGCACCCTGAGATTTTTCCTATTGTGTAGGTAAATATAAATGAGAGTTCTGTCATAGGATGTACTAATTGAATTCATCACAATACCAATATTACCAAAACAGTTGGACTTCCAGTTGATCCAAATTTTAAATCCAGATGTCTGGATTGGCAGTAGTGCATGTACTCGAATTGAATCCTACTATTCATTGTTGGTCACCTTATTGCTGATACTAAAAGAGGATACTGGGAGATAGAAGAAAGGACTTGACAAGATAGTGTGACAGCTGTTCCACAGCTCATAATGAGAACTTGGATGTTGGAATAGTGTGCTTTCAAATGCTTTAAAACATTTGAATGTAACAAAGAGAGAATGAAAATGCTATTGGTTTGATTTCTTGCTGGGCTATTACAACCAAAAAGAACATACAATGCTACTATCTCTCTCAGAACATACAATCTTTCTGTTTTTACATTAAAAGCATTTCTTTATTGAAAGAAGAGTGGATTTAAGATGTATCCCGATTTTATGGAATTCTGAGCTGTTTTGTTTAATTTTTAAGTGACTGTGTTGGTTATGTATTCCGAGTGGCCTTGAATGGATTAAAGACCATTTTGCAGTTTTACTTTCTGCAAAGAAATTTACTTTAGCATCATTTCAATCGCTATTGGCAACGTAAATGTATATGCATCCCTGACTCTATTGCATATTTTTACACGTTTCTTGGGATGTGGGTCTCACTGGCAAAACCAGTGTTTATTGACCATTCTCTAATTGCCTTGAAGCTGTGTAGCCTTCTTATCCTTGCTGTCCATGCAGTGCAGGTACTCCCAGGATGTTGTTAAGCAGGATGTTCCAGAATTTTGAACCAGTGACGCTGAAAGAAGAGTAATATGTTTCCAAGTCAGAATGGTGTGTGATTTGTTGGGAAAATGTGCAGGTGGTGGTGTTGCCATGCATCTGCTGCCATTGGAAGTCATAGGTTTAGGAGGTGCTGTCGAGCAACATTGACAAAACTGTCAAATCTAGTTTCAGCCTCAGCTATAAGTTGTGAAGTTGTCAGTACCTGGTACTGCAAGATGAAGAGTCACCTTAAAGAAAAAATCTGTCTGTAAAAAATCTTTAGAGTGACTATTATTTAGTCTGGAGAGTTCCAGATCATGCAAGTTTCCTAGAATTATGCAGAATATAAAACAGACACAATGTGAAAACATGAGTGAGTAATTAACAGCAGATTTCTGTTAGAAAAGATCAGATTTTTTAAATTTCTAAATGCCTTGTTTTTGAATCAAACTTTCTATTCCTAGATTATTTCAAGTCTGTTTACATGCATAGAACTACAGGCAGCACAGAAACTATTGGCCCAAATGGTTCTAAGTTTAACACAAGCTTCTTTTCACCTCCATCTCACCCTATTAGCATTTCCTTTTGTTCCCCCTTAAGTATATATGTTAATTGCCTCAACCTCTCTCAGTGGCAAGTTTTGCATTGTCAATTGTCTATGGGTAAAGTAGTTACTCCTAATAGTCAATAGTTTACTAATCT